AATATTATACAGGACGATCTGAGGCTTGGTAATTTCTAAAAAGAGATGTATTTGGCTCACAGCTCTGCATGGTTTTGGCATCTGCTCAGCTTCTGGTGAGGCCTCAGGAAGCTTTCACCCACGAAGGAAGGCAAGGAAAGACAGTATGTCACATGGCGAGAGCAGAAGCAAGAGAGAGAAGAGAGGGGCCAGGCTTTTAAACAATCAGTTCTTACGTGAACTAACAGAGTGAGAACTCACTCATTACCACAGGGAGGGCACCAAGCCATTCATGAGGAATGATCGGTCCCCCTGACACAAACACCCCCAACTAGTCTCCACCTTCAACACTGGGGATCACATTTTAACGTGAAATTTGGAGGGGAAAAACATCCAAACCGTATCACCTTCCTACTGAATTGACCAAATCCTGCCCATATCTAATGATCTATCTAGTGCCACAAGTTGTGGGTCAGGTCAAATAAAGAAGAACATTCACAACCTAGAACAACCGACTTAATAGTTAAGGGAAGGAATTCCTGCAGGTAAATCATCTATGCAAGGCTGATTATCCTGCGCTTAGCAGAGAGTGCCAACAGCAAGAAACAGACTCAAAACAACCCTGAAGAAAATCCTGTAGGTTTCCATACACTCAGATTCCATTCTCGAACTCTTCCCTTTTCTGAAGAATTTCCGTAAAATAGAGTGACCTCGATCTTCATGTAGTCCATGCTTGCTGGAGTCCAGTGTTATATTAGGCAGGTGGTAACCAGCTGAGAAGAGGGTAACTGATACAATGTGTCTGATGGAGAAAGGCAGAGACCTTTTAATCCTCCTCAGCCACTGTCAGCTGATTGTCCTCAGAGTTGAAATTCTGATTCATCATGGGAAATGGCTTTTATTGGGAAGTCATGTCATTTTCAGAATATTCTGGACATACCAGGAACACCTGCTGGGAATCTGCTTCCTTTCCATTCACAATATTGAGCCTTGGAGCTGGTCTCCCCATCTATTTGCAGGGGACAGAATGTTTGTGCTTGGAGTTGCCCAGCCCCTTCCTCATTCACATGCAGGTCATCTCCAATCTGGGCTCTTATCAGTTTCTCTGAGTAAACAGTTCTTTCCAGATTCCTTACCCTCTTTGTTCACTCAAACAATGGTCTTTGTAACCAAGAACAAAGTTAGGAGCAGATGACAGATTATTTTTAATGCTGTCAGCACAAGTGGCTGTTTAATTTATGACATTTTCTCTCTGTCTTTATTCTTTGCAGATAGGATGATTCAAAGCTCTCCTATGGAGAGCTCTGAATTGGATGAGAATACTAAGTCCGAAGCTTTTCTCAGAAACTGGTCAGTTGTCATTCAGACACACTGTGGGATGGAAGAGAATTTCTTGGTTGCCACTTATTTTATGGGTCTATGGTTGAGCAGTCCTCACCTTTTCCTCCTATTTCGCTTCTTCAACAAATCAGCAGGTAATGGTTGATCCTATCTCCCAAATGGCCCTAGAACCCTTCTACGTCTGTTTCCATGGGTGCAGTTTCAGTCTAGCCATCAATGTCTTCTGGGTGATTACTGCAACACTGAACTGAGCTCTCTCCTGCTTCCACTCTCGCCATGTAACATACCGTCTCTCCTTGCCTTCCTCCATGAGTAAAAACTTTCCTGAGGTCTCACCAGAAGCCAAGCAGCTGCTGGAACCATATAGAACCGTGAGCCAAACAAACCTCTTTTCTTTACAAATTACCCAACCTCAGACATTCCTTTATAGCAATGCAAAACGGAATAATACAGAGAATTATAGGTGAAGCCAGCAACCAAGAAAGGCAGTCAAGTGAAGGGACAAATGGTAGAAAATAGAAAAAATAGAATGCTTAGCTTGGAGCCTAGTCATGCCCTGCAAAGAGAAAACAGTGACGGCCGTGAGAAAAGGACTTAAGTTTGGACCAGGAGACAGATACAGAAAAAACTGAGAAATGAACAGAAATGCTTAAAGGAACTTCCTCTTGAAGAATGAAATTTCATTCTGTTCTACAAGAGGTTGGATCCCTCTAGAATGCTAGCTAATCTATGACAGATTGCATTACACAATGAAATATTGTCTTGAAGTAAATCTCCCCCACTCCATAAAAATGACATTTTATAGCTCATATTGTGAATTTTTCACCCATTTAGATTCTGCCTGACAGAGAAAGTTGACATTGTTAAATAGTATGATGTTCTCTGAGCTCCCTCGGTTGTGAGAAAGCATCCAACTGCTGCTGTATACATTAATCCAAGTAAAATATTTGTAACACAGAAGTGGGAAGGTATGCCTTTTGTCTTGTAGTTGTCTAGAATCACAGAAATCAATTTGGTATCATCAAAAAAAATCAAAAACCAAAAAGCTTCTTACAGCCTGGGGTTATTATACTGATTGAAACAAGGTATGACATTTCACGATGCCCTGGGTGATGAATTTACCAATATAGGGCATTATCCTAAAGCCCAGTCACACCCCAAAACAGCAAAGGACCAGAGACCCATCAATAGCAACTCCCTATTTTTCAGAATTAGGTGGCAACAGAATAATAAATTACTAAGGCTTTGTGTGTACACTGGTCACCTTTTGCCCTGGTGTACAGTTTAGGTGTGTAGTCAACTAGTGACAAGAAATACTCCTGTCATTTTGTTCTCCCTCCTTGGGAATTTCTGATACGATTTTGTTAAGACATGACAAGTTTTAAATCTGAAAAACAGGTTCCAAACCCACTTTTAAATTTAGTTCTCACAGACCAGTTTTACTTGACAAATTGACGATCTCATAAATGGATTTGAGATCTGCAGTCATTTGGTCGGCGCTGAGTCCTAGTTTGGCTCTTACAGCGGGCTAAGCTCTGGCAAATCACTTGGAGTTCCTGCTCTATAGCTGGAGAAAAAGTGATACTGTCCCCCTGACAGGGTTCTGAGGCTCACAGGTGGTCAACACATCCAGTGGAAAGCAAGGTGCAAAAAAGTTCTGTGGGTGTGGATGAATACCTTTGACTCACTTTCTGGAGCTTGCGCGAGTCTCAGAGATTTAGCCAGCATGAGCAATGACTTAGGAGTGAGGAAATTCCAGTCTTCAACTTGTCTGTCTCAATACAAAGATGTTTTCCCCTCAGCAAAATGGGTAAATGCCTTCTTTCCTTAACATATGCCTACTCATTTATTTGCATTACTAGTAAATGGCGCATTATATTGAGAACTAGAAGGCCTAATTACCCTATTACAGTGATTCCTAAACTTTGCTGCACATTGGAATCAACTGGGGAGCTCTTAAATATCCAATATCAATTAAATCAGAATGTCTGGAGGTGGATTCCAGGCATCAGTATTTTTCAAAGACCCACTGGTGAGTTCACCATACGGCAGAGTTTGGGAACCACTGTCTAACTCCCTTCTCCAGGTACCTTTCAACTTCTTGGTTCTAAAGTGTATCCAACTTTGAAATGAGAATCGAAGCCCAAGACGACACATCTTGAGCCTCTACACCTCCCTCCAATAAGCCTGGTAGCCAGCCGCCTCTACCTCTTGCATCCAACTGGAAAGATGAATCCAGGGGTGGGGAGGAGAGCCTGGGGTGGGGAGAGCACAGGGCACTCCCTCCCAAACTGGGGATTAGCAGATAGTACAGAAAGAGATTTCAAGATCAAAGAAAACTTGGCAATTCTGGGTTCATCAGTGATAAGCAAATTACTTCATTTTAGGACTTCTCAGACCCTTTAAGTCAAAGTACAATTATGAATCTGCCAGATAGTATTTTAGCAGCATTTCCCTGTGAAAATCTCCATTTTCTCAGAGTATTTCTCGGACTAGTGTTTCAAGCAATATGCTTTGAGAAACCTACAACAATGTTGAAATTTTGGCAATGTCTGGAGACATATTTGGTTGTCACAACTGGAGGTCAGGGAGCTGTTATTGGCATGTAATGGGTACAACGCACAGGATAGTCTCCATCATGGAGTTAAATAGCCCCAAAGTCAATAGTGGCACAGTTGGAAAGACCTGGCTTAGAGTGACCTCTTCTCTCACAGACCTACCTCCAACCTGTAGCCTCAGAAATTAGAGATGATGAGAGAGCAAAAAAGATAGAAGAGAAAAAGGGAGAAGATGAAAGAGAAAAAGAGACAATAATAAAAGCAGAAGTAAGAAAGAGACTGGGGGGGGGGGGGGGAAGAAGAAAAAGAAGCCAGATTCATAATTGCCAAAAGTTAGAAGCAACCAAGATATCCTTCAGTAGGTGAATGGGTAAGCTGTGGTACGTCCCCATAGTCGAGACTTGAAAGTGCTAAAAAAGAAATGAGCTATCAATCTATGAAAAGACATGGAGGAAACTTAAATGCATATCCAAGTAAAAGAGGCCAAACTGAAAAGACCCCAGATTATAGAACTCCACCATATAACATGCTGGAAAAGGCTAAACTGTGAAGACACTAAAAAGATGAACTGTTGCCAGGAGTAGCCAGGGGGAAGAAGGAATGAATAGAGCAGTACAGAGAATTTTTAGTGTATGAAAATAACTCTCTAGATTCTACATGTCACGGTACATTTGTCCAAACCCCACAGAACGTACAACACTAGGAACAAACCCTAATGTAAACTGTGGACATTGGATGATTATGATGTGTCACTGTGAGTTCAAAGATTGTCACTAATGTACCACTCTGGAGGGACGGTGATCATGAAGAAGGGTATGCAGGGGGTATATGGAAATTCTCAGTACTTTCTGCTCAATTTAGCTGTGAATCCAAGATTGCTCTGAAAAATTAAGCCTACTTTTTATAAAAGGAAAGAAAAAGAAGCCAGGCAGCACACCGGTGTTGACTTGCCCCAGCCTCCTCACACCTTTATTACATCTCTGCGTGTTGCAAGGCCACTGCTCTTCCCAGGCAAGGACTGGTGGGGGGGGAGGAGGGGAAGACGAAGGAAGGCAAAGGACTGTCTTTTGCCCAGTGTTCTGTGACCTTGACTTAGTGTTCCAGGGCACAGCGGGGGAAGGCTCAGACCCTACTGGGCTTCTTGGCGTCCTTGCTCTTGGTCGGCATGAAGGCGCTGAGCTCCTCGATGAGCATCTCCATGCGGGCGGTGACCTCGGTCACTGTATCAATGACCAGCTTCTGCTGCAGCTTCAGTTCACTGTTTTTCCACAAGGCCTTGCTCTCCTCCTGGAAGGCCCGGTGCTCCTCCCACAGCACGTGCGCCCTGTTCTCCTCACGCAGGGCCTGCAGGGCCTGATTCATCTCTCTCAGGAGCTGCAGGCACTGGCCACCGTCGAGCAGGCCTGGGCCTGCCTTGCCCTCCTCTTCCTCGGAAGGCCCAGACAGGTTGTTGACCATCTCCCGTAGGGCGCGCAGCGTCTTGGCGTCCTCCTGTGGGGCCGAGGGTCCTTTGGACTCCTCGAAGGGGGAGGAGAGGCCTGGGCCCTGATCCGGCAGCAGCCCGGGGCCGTGAGGCTCCTCGCTGGGAGAGGGTGCTACCTGGTCTTCCTCTGTGGGGACGGCCTTGTCCTCTGTCTGGGCCCAGTAGGCCTGTCTCTGCTCCAGCAGCCGCTGCAGGGTGCGGTTCTCCTCCATGAGGAGCTGCAGGGTGCGGTTCTCCTCCCTGAGCTGCTGAAGGGCGACGGTCTCCTTGCCCCGGAACGTCTGCAGGGCCGCGTTGTACTTCTTCGCCGCCTCCAGGGGCCTGCTGTCCTCGTGCAGCAGGGGCGAGGGAGCCCGGCTCCTCTCCCCGCCCCGCGCGGCCTTGTGCTCCTCCCAGAGGACCTGCAGGATCTTGTTGTTCTCCTCCCGCAGGGCCTTGTTCTCCTCGCGCAGAGACTTGTTCTCCTCCTGCAGCAGGCGCTCCTTGGCCAGCCTCTTGTGCAGTTTATGGTGGAAGGAGGGCGAGGGGGAGAAGTATGGAGGCTGCAGGCGGCAGTTCTCGTTCACCCACCGCCCGTCCTGGAAGACGAACATCTCGTCGCTGAGCTGCACCCACGGCGGGTTGTAGTCCAGCTCTGGGTCGGCCTGGGAGGCGGTGGGGCGCTCCATGGGGTCCCCGGGCACCGAGGAGAAGCGGTTCAGCGGGTAGGCGTGCTGGCTGACCACCCTGCGGCCCAGCCGGGGCGGGGCGGCCTGCCTCGCACATCGAGGGGTGCCGTGCAAGTTGTGGAGCCTCAGGGAGGGCTCGGATGTGCCCCTCTGTGGGAGAGAAGGGGAAGACCAGCGTTAAGGACGGGGCTGACACGTCCAGGCCTGGCTGGTAAGCCGACAGGCCAGGACACCCCCACATAAGCCCAGTCTGTGAGTCTGGCCCAGCCACGGTGAGTGCTTTTGCTTCCTGGGGTCCTCACAAGGTAGCCCAGCTGATCCTTGTTATTCCAGGTGGGTCTGTTCTATAAAGGCACTCCAGCACGGAATTAGTGAATGCTGCATCATTGCTTCTAGAGGAAATAGAGGCTAGGTTCCTCCCAGCCTCTGGCCACAACATTTTTGCCATCTGATCCATGTCTAACCTTGTTTTGGGTGTGCTTCTGTTGGAAGACACCTTAATTAATGTGTATTGTTGATTCAGCAGCATCGAACTTGCCCTTAGCAGCGCTGTCACGCATGTCTGAGGGAAGCTTCCCTAACATGTACCGCAGGACACAGCCTGCTTGTGATTGGGAATACTACACTTGGTTTCGAGTGGCTTGGGAGCCACTTTATCAGCAAAATCACCAACAGAAAGCTCAAGAATGCAGAAAACATGACACAAAACAAACTAAAGACACTGTTTTCCAGTATGAGAGCTGGAACAAGAAGGCCTCTCAGCTAGGGACTCATCTATCTGTGCATGTCCAGGAATGACCATAGAAGTGCTATGAGCTGATTTGAGGGTCGCAAATGTGATTTGAGGTCACATTTTAGTGAATAGGCAAATTTGGAAATATGTAATTCATGAATACTGAGAATTGACTGTGTATCATGGAAATTAAAGGCATCGATTCTAGAGTCAACCATATGCTTTAAGTTCTAGCCTCACCACTTATCAGTTACAAGAATGTAGGCAAGTTATTTGAGCTTTGGTCTCCACAATTTCATACTGGAAACATTGCATCTACTTTCTTTCCTTATGAGGACTTTTCAGGATTAAAAAAGGCAATGTATGAAACCACTTAGCACGGGCTCTGGCACTGTCACCCTAGAGGGGGAACTAACACTGTTCCCAAGTACCCAGTCATAGGTGTGCACCCACACTTGGCACTAGTAGAGGGGCAGCATGAATCACCCAACAGCCATCCAAATTGCCGTGTCCAAAATGGCGGCACTGTTGGTCATCCAGCTTTCTCCCTTGCCCTGTTTGGGCTCCTTCTCCACTCTTGACCACCCTTGAGTTTTTTCTGCCAGCAGCTTCTAAAACCACTACCCCAGCCCCCAACACAGGGCTAGGCTCAAAGCGGAGTCCAGCTGACAATTTTGGAAAGGAAGAGCACCATCCCAGATATATCACTGAGCGTTGAGAGCTCAACATGTGATAAAGACAGCAAAGGCACCAAGGAGTTCATGATGGTAGCCAGAACCCTCGAGTCCACAACACAAAGCAGGGATCAGATCCGCAGAGCTTAAATCCAGTAAGCCAGCTGGCTCTCACACTTCCCAGTACAGAAAAATAACTCAAATGAGTTTTGTTGGTTTTTTTTAGTTGGAGTCTCACTCTGTTGTCCAGGCTGGAGTTCAGTGGCATGCTCACAGCCACCGCAGCCTCTACCTGCTGGGCTCGGGCAATCCTTCCACCTCAGCCTTCCAAGTAGCTGGAATTATAGGCATGCGCCACCATGCCCAGCTAATTTTTTGATTTTTTGTAGAGATGAGGTCTCACCAAGTTGCCCAAACTGGTCTTGAACTCAGGCAATCCTCTCACCACAGCCTCCCAAAGTGCTGGGATTACAGGTGTGAGCCACTGTGCCCGGCCTCCAAGTGATTTTTTAATTTTTTTTTGAGTTGGAGTCTTACTCTGTTGCCCAGGCTGGAGTACAGTGGCATGCTCCCAAACACCGCAGCCTCAAACTGCTGGGCTCAGGTGATCCCCCCACCTCAGCCTTCCAAGTAGCCGGAACTACAGGCACGCACTACCACACCCAGCTAATTTTTTTGATTTATTGTAGAGACAGGGTCTCACCATATTGCCCATGCTGGTCTCGAACCCGCAGGCTCAGGCAGTCCTCTTGCCTCAGTCTCCCAAAGTGCTGGGATTATAGACTTGAGCCACCTGTGAATCTTAAATGCAGATTTCTCAGCCTCCCATGGCAAGTCTGATTCACTCCATATGAGGTGTGGCCCAGGAATCTGCATTTCTAACCAGCTCCCTTAGGTGATTCTGGCTGCTAGTGGTTAGGACAGATATAAGTCAAGTCGAATGAGCAATTTGCCTAGGTGAGGGTTACACCAGGGTTAAAGACTGAGGGGTCAATATTGGGGGTCTCAGGAACGCTTGTCCTGGTTCTATTACTTTTTTTTTCTTTTTTTTTTTTTTTTGAGTTGGAGTCTCACTCTGTTGCCCAGACTGGAGTGCAGTATCTGCTCCCGGCCACCGCAGCCTCGCCTGCTGGGCTCCGTCGATCCTTCTGCCTCAACCTTCCAAGTAGCTGGAATTATAGGCGCGCGCTACCACGCCCAGCTAGTTTTTTACTTATTGTAGAGGTGAGGTCTCACCAAGTTGCCCAGGCGGGTCTCGAACCTGCGGGCTCAGGCAATCCACTCACCTCAGCCTCCCAAAGGCACGGGATTACAGGCTGAGCCATCGAGCCCAGCTTGGTTCTATTACTAATGGGCAGTTTGAAACCAGAGAGCTCTCTCTTCCTTTCTGAGACCCAGACTATTCACGAGTAAACAGAGGGAGTCAGACTCCATGATCTTAAAGGAACCTTCTAACCTTCAAAGTCAATGAAACGTACCTGTAGCGTAAAAACAATCGTATGTGCTTGGCTTAGTTCACAACACCGTTGTGAGGATTGAATGAGATAACGGAGCAAAAAGGTTTTTAAAACTGCCAAGTGCCATGGAATTGTTAGGTTTTGTTATCAGGAAAAGTAGATTTCACTAACGCAAGAATTCTGAGATGGATTCAAAGACGCGAACCGGCGGCACACACATTGGAGAAGAAGCGACAATGGCAGCAATGAATCTAAGTAAAAATAAGATCATGATAGCTACTTTTAAATACCCCGAGAGCATTTCATCCAAGTACCTCAAAGTGCTTTCCAAATATCAATTCCTTATGTCTTAGGTTATTTCACAATTGAACAGATAGAAAAGATAGAAAACAAGTCAAGTTATCTGCTCTACATATGTGTGTAGGGAGAGATATATAATTAGAATTCTTTAAGACTGGAAGATAAATAGAAGATGCAGTTCTATGCCATTAACTTTGCAATAAGCACACGTCGTTAACTTTGTAAGGATATGCTCAAGCTTCCAGACAGCAAAGGCGCGAGGGCATTGTGCAATCAGAATCTTAGTTACTTTAAATAAATTCAGCCTCTGTGGTTTTCACATTTCTCAATTGGGAAAGCACATTGGCTCCTTTGGCAGAATGAAACTCAATGTAGATAACCCAGTAGGTTTAAGGTCCTGAGAGCCAACGTTGATGGGAAGATTAGCCAAGGCCAATAAGAAGTGGATCTTAAGAACCAGTGTGCAGGGCTCCATCTCAGCAAAATCTGCCTCCAGAAGATACTATCATGGAAAAATGTGGTTTTAGTTAACAGTTGTATCCCAATCCCAAGAAGGAAAGGGAAGAAGGAAACAAATATTGAGCCCCAATTTCCTATAGACCCTGAGCTAAACATTTTACCTACTGAATTCATGTAATCCTCACCAAACTGACATATAAGAGACTACCACTACTCCCATTTTATGACTGGAGAAACTGAAACTCAGAGAAGTGAAATAACCAGCACTAGTTCACTTACGAAGACACAAACTCACTTCCAGCTCTTTGAACTATATGTTGGAAGTACACACGTGGAAAATCGCCATGGATTTATCAAAGGATTGCAGTACTTTGGGGGTCAAAATATTTTTTCGTTAACATTTTAATATGGAAAATTTCAAACATATACAAAGCAAAGAGATTCATCTAATAAATGTTCATGCAGCCATCATCCAGCTTCACCAAATGTCACATGCCATGCTTCATTCAGCCCGTTACCGATTCCATAATGTCTCCACACCACTATTTGAAAGCAAAGCGACATCATGTCATTTAATCCATTAATACATCACTGTGTATCTATGTAACAGAACCACAATACCATGATCACTCCTTTACATTTTAACAACAATCCCTTAATATCAGCAAATACTGAGTCAGGTTCAAATCCCCCTCCCCCCCGCCACAGTCTTAATTTCTTCTTTACTCTTGTTTTATTTCAATCAGAGAAGTACTCTTCTCTATCCAACTATCCATCCAAAGAGGAATCACTCGTGCTTTATGCCTCTTCACGTTTAAGTCCACAGTGATGTTCAGCTACCTTTGTTTTACATTCCAAACTGGTTACCCAAGCAGCTTTCGACTGGCCCCACAACAGAGATGCACTAAATGAAACCTGAAAATGTTGCATACCCCTGACTATCACCAACCTGAATATCTGGGCTCTTGTCCTTTTGCACATCATCAGGTGACCTTGATCACATTCTCTCACTTTGTGGCCTTAGTGTCCACTTATGCATAATGAAGGGTTGGAGGCATTATCTCTAAGTGTCCTCTGGACCTAACTTTCCCAGGTCCAGTGGATACACACTTGGAAACCGGCTTCACTGTGGCTCCGGCAGCTTCTCTTTCCAACCTAGTTGGCATCTTATCCTCTTCCCAAGCAGGCCTCGTGCTTTCTCTGTTCTGTGCCCACAGCACCTAATCCAGGAAATGTTAATAGACTAGTAGGTCTTCCTTAATGGAAGACTTCCATTACTTACTTAACAGGAAACCAAATTCTCTTGACTGAATCCTACAGTCTTCCCTCCTGTCCCCAGACAAGACCAAGAAGGTGGTCAAGTCCAGCATTACCTCAGGGCTTAGTTTCTTAGAACACATACATTTTTTTCCTTAAAAAAAATTTTTTTGAGACAGGGTCTTGCTCTGTCAATCAGGCTGAAGTGCAGTGGCATGATCATAGCTCACTACAGCTTCACACTCCTGTACTCAAGCGATCCTCCCACCG